ATGAAGTAGAGAGAATAAGAGAAAAATATCAAATGCCCTTGGCAGGATTTTTCTCTTGTTCTCTCTACTTCATAATATACTTGTATATGTATATTGAAAGCGGCCATAATTTTTGCAAATATATTTTAAAACTTTCACCCGGTTTTCAGACAAAGTGTTCAATGACAGTTATAGTCTGAGCAGTGTAAAGTGAAAAAGAAACAAACAAACTACTATAAAATCATAGTGTATTTTTCACGAAACATTTGTTCCGTATGGTCGAACTGACCACACTCTTCAGGTGAACACACTACATGACCGTTGGTTCATTTAAGGTTTACATTAAATACAATCTTAAATTTAAACGATGCTTAGTATAAGGTTGCACATCATAAAATCTGAGTAAATATTTGCGCTTGTGTCTACATGCGGAAACAAGTTCCCTCCATGCAACTGCAGATATAAAGCCAATTGTCCACTCTGAGGCGAATACCGAGCATCCAACATCATTTATCAAGCCACAGTAACCACAGATGACAAGACAGAAACCTACGTAGGACTAACAGAAACTGAATTTAAAACCCGACACAGAAATCACACATCATTTTTCAGAAACGAGAAACAAAAACAAAAAAACAAAAAAAAAAGCAACTTAACTCTCAAAATACATCTGGAACTTAAAAGAAAGTAGCATTGAGTACAAATTAACGTGGTCAATCTTAATGAAAGCAAAATCATAAAGTAATTTAAACAAACGTTGTAATTTATGTATAAATGAAAAATATATCATAATCTGCCAACCTAAGAACGCTTCCCTCAACAATCGAAACGAAYTTATATTTAAGCATGTTATGTTTTGCATTCTGCATCTCGTTTGATATCTTGCATCTCATTAGGTATCTGTATAAGTGTACACTACAACCTTGCTGCAATCAAGTGTATATATTATATAATAAATAATATATAATATAATTTTTAAATAACAATTAGTTTATAGATAGCAATTTTTGAATTATTATAGATTTCCTGGTTAACGCTAAATCTAGTTAAATACACTAAACATAAATTAACCTAAATTAACTCACTCTCTCTTCACTTTTCTCTTTGAATGTTTTTGCCCTTTATTTTGAAAACTGGCAGTCTCTCAGTTGTTTCATAACACACTCCAGAACTAGTTGTACGAGAAAGCCTACTTATCTTTGGTCGCAAAGTAACATAAACAGCAACTCCTCCCAAGGATTTGGCAAATTATTCGTACAGTTTTCTCTGCATTTCAATGAACGTTGTTGGATTTTGATATGTAGAAAAGTGGCGATTATACTCCAGTTTTGAATTCTCTGTCGTACAGGGTTAGCCTCGATTTCGTACGAAATAGTTCAGTTTGAATATTCATTCATTCCAGTCAAAGYCTGTGGAATTTCAAAGTGTTGAAGTTGTACATTCTTTACTTTACCGTTGGCATTTGTGAATATTTGTTCACTGAAATGAGTCTGTGATCAAGGAATGCAGCCATATTTGACTAATTTTAATGGTCAATTCATTTCTCTGTGCGTTGTCCACCGTCTCTCCCCACGCGCCGCTTCGAACTCAGATTCTTGATATACATTAGTAAGTTTAGAATAACATCATAGTGTAAGGCTCTTCTTTGTTGTATCGTCGCGCGTCATTATCAATATCATCATCAACATTATCATTATCATCATTACCATTATTATTGTTATTATTGTTATTATTATCGTTATTATTATTATCATTATTATTATTATTATTGTCGTGATTGTAATTAATCAAATAAATATTTTTAGATTAATCATTTGATTGGTTGGATCCGCAATGCATTCACGATCATGGCAATGTGTGACTATCCTTACCCCACAAGCTTTCTAGCTCCTCTCCCTGCCAATCCTGTTAACTATGCATGTAAGGTTATCTCTGGCTCCTCAAATAAGATGGAAGGACTTGCAGAGGCTGCAGGTTTAGCATACAATGGCACTGGTGGTAAACTGAAATGCTTTGATCCATGGATTGAGTTTGTGGAATGTGCAGACCCTACAGGATGTGGTACCGGGAATGACAATCTTGCTTGGGATTATCAGGTAGGCCTCTTTGTCAATATAGGCTTATAAATTAGTATGTCATGTAATTGTTGCACAATACCGATAAGCTTTGGAATAATTAAGTTTTAATCTTATTAGGAAAAACTTTGTCATTTGAGAACGCATCTCAAGTGCCCGCTTTATTGCAATGAATTTGTAAACTGAGCAGAATTGTGTCGTCTGCACTAATTATAAAAGTCAAGAGAAGTGGCGAAGGCTCTGGAAGTCAATGGGAATCAAGCTGCAGCCTAAGGAGGCTGCAAACCACCAACTTAGTTACTCGCTTTTCTGATTTGCAAGTTTTCTTAATTTTAAATCAAGATTTATTGATAACAGGATTACAGATCGTGGTGCTTTTAGCGACCTTGCAAGTTCTTTATCCCTTCACTTACTTAAACACTGCAAAATCCCATTAAAAAATATGAAGGAAATAATATTAAACAGTACCAAGTGGGGTGCTACCTTAGTGGGAGAAGTTTAGGAAATAGGAACGCAGTTCAGATTGTGAGAGAAGTTTTATTGTTTTTAAAAGGCGTGTACAGAGTTTCTGTTGCCGTCTGGTACTAATAATGTCACTGATATGTTTCCTGAACTACCATGGACACTGGATATGAGAAACGAGTACTGCAACAAGACATGGAATGTTAAGCCTCGTTTGCAATGGACTGGAACTTCGCTCTGGGGAAAAAGTATGTACTTTAATATACAGCTTGTTTAATGGGCTTAATATGGCACTTTCAAACTTTTCTATCGACACCCCAAAACAACTTCTGGAATCATTATAATGAATAAATGATTTGCTTCATCGACCCAAGAATTGTGTTTAATTACGACCTGGCTAACTTACGAAAGGTCGAAAGCTAGGTTTCAGTTAAACACATACCATAATGAGAGCATAACATGTATCCGTGGAAAAGGTGAACTAACAAAATTGTACACATTAGTGCAAAGGTTTGTAGGTCTCCGGTGTACTGAGGTCTACTGAACTTACTAATTTGCTTTTAAAGGATGTAGACCCCTTGCATGTGACGTCAAAGCAGCTCGATCTGGGGGACAAAACAAAAGAATTCCAATCTTCTGAGAAGTATAACCTATTGTTTTGTCACCCAGATTGACCTGAATTCCAAAGTGCTTCAAGGGGTCTATATGCTACGTATGCACTCTACTGCTACCCATAAACACTTATTTGATTTAACTTCTGGGTTGATCAAATTGATTTTAAAGGGGAAACCATAATAAAAGGAAGAAATAAAGAAAGAAAGGAATGAAACACGCCACACAAAACAGAGAAACAACAATAGGGTCCCCGGCGGATAACATGGAAAGACATAAGCATGAAATAAAATAAACAACGAGCCTAGGACAAAGAAAATATCAAAGGGTGGTATGATCACCCTATAACCCCAGGGAGTAGAAGAAGATAAACACGATGCCTCGGGGCTTAAATACTAGCTAAAATGCAATCAATTCAATCTAAAGACACTGTAGCGCAATAGATATATTTCAATTGTTAATTTCGATCGCCGCCAGCTTTAACAAAATATTTCGTTCTATAATTTCCAAATCTTGATGACTATTGTGACAATATTTAAAGAAAATCAAAGTCTGAGTAATCAACCAATGATAAAGTAGATAAGATTAGTAAATCTATCAGCCAATCAGAGATTCGCTACCATTCTACAGTTGCAGTCCCTTGGCGTTGATAGTGTAGCGGCAGAGCGAGGGGTTGTGGAAGAGTCTAAACTCTGATTGGGTATCAAGATCACTGCTAGTAGTCTTTCTCTGGACTCTGATTGGGTATTCAGATCACTAGTGATCTACCTCCCAATCTCATACCCAGAACGTGCGTTTTTTCTGGCCTTAAGCGAAGAACGAGAGCTTTGGCATAGTCCATTTTTGGCGCATGCGCAATTTTCCGGAAGTTAAAAAATATAATCGATGGAAGTAATTTTTAGCTCGTGAAGAGCTATCGAGGTGGCTAGATTTCGCATTTTTCGGATAACGCTTCTCAGCCAATCGTTTTGGGTAATTCCCGTAACCATGGAATCCATTGTATTCGCCAAGTAACGTCACTGGAAGAATCGCACGTTGTTTACAGAGGAAGCCATTTTGGATTTTCGTTCACTTCATAATTAGCAGCATATTTTGAGTATTCTTAGTTTACTTTATGCTCTTTTTATTGGACCTTGAGATATGAGATTGTCGTATTTATCATTACGTTGGAAGAAGAATCCGAAAACAGCCTGGTTTGTCATATATTGGATCGATTAGACTCGGTCCAGATAATCCAATAGAAGCCAATAATTTAATTGATAAAGACAACAGTTTGTTTGCACAGAACATGTATTCCGACTATCGCCTTACTCGGGTCACAATACCTTCAATGAAATAAGTCACCAGATGTCATTTGTTATCATCTTGATTCATTGGTACTCAAAAAGCTTCACGAGCTTACCATGGGTAACCTTTGATTTCAAGTAGAGTTCTGTTTTAACTTTCGATCAAAATAAAAATTAGAAATCTGGAACATATTTTGTTATTACTGGGTTGCCTGTGGCAGCCCAGTCGTAAAATGCCTTTCTTTCTTTCTTTTTTTTTTTTTTTTTTTTTTTTTTTTCTCCGTCTCACGAAAAGTGCATTCTTGCGTAAGAGTACCCGTATATGGATTTGAATGACGGGTACATTGATTAATGGCTCATAGCGACTGGCTGAGCGGATGAGGATGTAATTCCGGGCTTTAGAAGTAATATAATTGATCAGTAAAAGAAAAYATCTAGGATTGTAATTCACATATTTATTAATATTATTACAGCTACTGAGTCGGCAGTATTCTAAAATACGACTTTCAGTCTTTTTAGTTAATAAGACATATACATGAATCTATCGTTAAATACCTCGCGGTAATAGAGCTGGTAACTTTGACCGTAAGTACTTTTCACTAAGTTTGCAATCCTTTAACTAACCGAGTTTCACAGTTCCACTTCACTGGTTAGGATATTTTAAAAAACTATATTCGAAGAATATGATCAATAATGGAAAGATCGTGAACTTCAGAACTGTTAGCGAAATACAAATAACAATTTTAAGCACATTTCTAAATAAATTTAGACTTCCTGAAATAAATATATTTATTTCGTTGGACGCTGCAAGTCTTAGCCGGGTCAAAGTCAGGTCAAGTTTCTCGTGTAATTCAAGATGGAGAATATATTATACACCTAAAATGTTCCAAAGTACCCCCTCCCCAAATAGCGGTACATAACAAATATTAGATGTTAAATGAGGACGAGCATACCCGCGCATTGGGCAACCCAGTGCACGCTCCAAGGTCGTCTTGTTTTTTTCTTGTCTTCGAACGCATGCCCTTTTATACCGGAGGTCCAAGAAATCCTGGTCTCAAAAAAAAGGATTATGCCAGAACCCTCTTTTTTTCGCCGCAGGCCAGAAGAAACGCAGGCTCTGTTGTCTACCTCTGGATTCTGATCTGAAAAACTCTGAAAAATTCAAATATTTTTTCTAGCGAAATCTTATATAGCGCGCCCTACTCAACTGACGTCAGCGTGCACCATCGATTTTTATTTTTACGCCTCGTAGATCCACACTACTTTGACAATGTGATGACGCAATTTATCGTCAATAAGAGGACAGACATAAAAAAACTGATCTCTATTTGTTAATTTTCGATTCATGCTCGCGCACGCTAATTAACTAATCAGAGCGTACGTTATATCGTGGCTATGGTATAATGATTCAGTGGTGTGTTAAACCTCATACACGTAGCAGGATGCAGCTCACTGATTGAATAAACCAGCCTAATACTTATTAGAAAATAATAACACCCACTCGACCAATCAAGTTATTCATAAAGAAACTTAGGTGTCCAGTGGTGGGGGCCTTGAAGCACAGGGATTGAGTGAAGTCACTAAAACCGTGAAATAGCTATTTGACTAATATACATATGAGATTGAGAATGTAAGTTCTCCTGTATCTTCAATCTTGTAATTGCTTTTTCTAGATCTTAAATGCTGTATGTTTCTTACTTTTCTCCAGATATCAGCTCTGCATCCAACATCATCTTTTCAAATGGTGATCTAGATCCTTGGAGGCCTGGAGGGGTAAATAAAACTAAAAACAAGGAAACATGTAATATTAGCATATACCAACTCGTGTACTTCCTAAGAACGCTCACGCTCATTGGTTAATTGGAGGTAAATATTGTACGATATTCACCTCTGAATCTCGGAATATTGAGTCGGCAACAAGATGGCATCTTCCGGCAATCGTTTTGCTACAATTTCCGATGAGGAAATTGAAAAAAAGAAAGTAAATGCCATTCCTATCGATACTAAAAAGCCGGAGGCAACGAAGTATGGCCTAAAAGTTTGCTAAAAGTTTTGCTAAAAGTTATGCGTGAAACTAAAAGTTTCTTTTTTTGTGTGTGTTTTTATTGAATTATTGTATATAGAAATAAGTTACTCTGTACACAAGTTGGTATATGCTAAAACAATTATTCGCCTCAGGCTCAGTAAATATGGAGAAGACTCGAAGACTCGCGTCTCGGTAAATATTCACCCGATATTCACTTCGCCTTCGGCGAATAATTGCTAAATATGTAACGAAATTAGCTTTGTGATCATTATCCATTGATGATGGCAGCAGGACTGCCGAAACATGTCTATTAGAAAAGCCATATTATACCTGAAGATCATTATTACACAATTCCTGCTTGTTAGACCCTTTGGAAATATGTAATAGATCAAACACGAGTGCGAGTGTTTCATCGGAATTCAATACACCGAGAAGCTGATGAAAGCACGAGGCCGTATCGGCCGAATACTTTTATGGCTTTAAATTATTATGGTATTTTCATGTTTTATTTCCGGTACCGGGAAGAGAGTTGTACCCCTTTTTTAATCCGCATCCCAACTCGCCTAACAAATAGACTTGCATGCAATTTAACTAAGGCATAGGAATCAAAAAACCCTTGAGAAACGAAGAAATTATAAAATTGACGGACCACAAAATGAGCACAACAGCTAAAATCTCAACCAAGCAAGAGGTAAGGAAACGGTTCCACCAAGGTTGTATAACAGGAAGCGTAACTTATGCATGAATGTAGAATCATCCAAGCTCATTAAATTGGTAACGTAGCTTGCTGATTAGTTTTGTAAGTTTAAATTATGTGAAACCAGAACCATATTTTCATCTTGTAGCAAAAATGGTTCAGTCTCTCTGGGCAAATTTATTCTATCCTTCAGCCGCTTTTGCAATTTACTGTCAGTTTTGCAAGAAAAGATTGGTCAAATCCTTTAACTGCGAAGCCCAGTTTCTAGTAAGTTTAGTTTTCAAGCTTCTCGAAGAAGAGTTAAGGCTTATATAATATCTTAATAAATGATTCAGGATGAGAAAAAAAATTTTAACTGACACATTCGGTTTTGTTCGCAAATTTCACTAGTTTTATGAAGTTAAGAGTGAGCCGATTTTGGTTCACTCTCCTGAAAATTGATGATGCCTCCGAAAAAAATCAAATCGAAAAGCAAATTTTCTTTTTCCAGCGATTTTTTCCATTTCTTATGACATTACTATAAGACTAAGGTACTCGCCACTCTACGTTATGAAAGTGTACTTTAAGCTCAAGATGAGCAAGAAATAATTTAGGGATGAAGTAATATATGTGATAGTCCCTCAAAACTTCCAACTTTAGTGAAGCGGCGCATAGGGGACCAAAGACCAAAACGGAGGAATAACCACGACTTTCAACGTAAATCCAGTGTAGACGATGCCAGGTAAGAAGGAACGTTACGAGATTTTGCCCGAAAGAAAAGAAGAAGACGTGTTATCTTTTAAAGGAAAGTGACATATGATCCTTTACAGGAATTTACTCTCAAAGGTTTGGGGGATGATTGAGAGGCATGATGATATTGGATTCAGGATGTGACCTCGTAGAACCAATTGGAATAAATTCAGTTGAAAAGACGCACGTCAACGCATACATGACCACCAACAGGCATACCCAGCAGCCATGACCAGTATTAAAGTTGGAGAGAAAGAAAACGAAATACTTGTAGTGGTGAGTAAGGATTTACTCAAACAAGTATTGCTGGGAAAGGATTTTCCTACATTTTATGAACTGTTGAAAATGTTTCAACCATGCAAGTGAGGTAAAGAAAGGTCTAGTAGAAAGATCCGAAGAAGCTAAAGAGGAAAAGGATAACAACCTGCTTTGACGGTAGTACCAAACAAGGAAACAGACGTAGCGGAAGAGTATGAAGGCTTGGACGTACAGTCATGCAAACAGAGCTAGAAAAGAATAATCTCTTCAGAAAGTGAAAAATGAATCGAAAGGATGAAACAAAGGCAGTGGCGGATCCAGGATTTTTCAGAACGGGGTCCAGATTTTTCACTTCTTTGCTCTTACTATATATGAGCGCTGTTCGTACGACGTACGACGCCAAAAACAAGCTATAACGACAGGACACAACCCAAAACTTCTGTAATCTTTTTGATTAAAATCTACAGACATATTTTTCTTGATATCCAAAAATTCAAACCTTACAACAACAGCAACAAAAAAAAAAAAAAAACGGCGAAGAAAAAAAAACTACGCATACATCCGCCACTGAAAGGTTCTACTAGCCAACAATTAACAACGACGTGCTAAAGTACTGTAAAACCTGTGAAATGTGCCTGGAAAAAATCTGAACACAAGACAAAGCTGTTATATTTATTAAAGATGCGATTTATTCTTTTTCAGGTTAGTTTTCGATAAGCAAAAAAATTTCCGYTCAAATAGGTAGCATAATGCGCCGTATTGTGTTGACCCCCTCCCCTAGTGGTGAAATTTTTGATGGTTTTCAGTCCTTGGCCGTGAAAGCTGGGCGAGCAGCCGCGATCACGTATTTCCTGGCGTTCACTGGAGTAACTTTTTACTCGGGCTACCTGTGTTACAGATGCTAGCTAAAATCTCGATTTAAGAAGTTTTGTGTCGGTGAAGATGATTTTCGGAGCCTTCAGTACTTTTAGCCTGGGGTTATTAAATCGTGATTACAAAACGTGTGTTTCTCGAGCTTTGGCTTGTCAAGTATAAATCTGTTGGCTTGTCAAGTCTAAATCTGATTTCGTTGTTACGTTCACTCATCTAGGAAAGTATTTCGTTGTGAAATTATGTCAAACTTCAATTTATTTATTGCTGGAAGTATTCATCAAGGTGACGAACGATTTAGTGACCTTTCAAAGGAAAGACAATTTTCTCTTATGAGCTTTTCAGCGCTGTAAAGTGCCCAGTCGCTGCCAATTCTGCAATGGCAGGCCGAAACAATCGACGAAGTTATATATACAAGGAGACCTATTGTACTTGAACGCTCTTGAAAGTAGTCTTATTCCAGACGAAGACGCGCTATCCCTTAATTATTCTGCCTGATATTGTACGTTTGGCTAAGACGAACACAAGCTAAATATCATAGATTCTGTTTAGAAGTATCAGTTATTAGTGCAATTCCACTCAAAACAAATTGCTGTAATATTCATGACATATTGTTGTGTTATACATAAACATGTACAATAATTGATAAAAACATATATATATTATTTATATAGAGATAGAGACAGTAACAGATATATATACATATAAATCCAAACTAAGATTTCTACAAAGGATAAAAAATATTCTGTTTTATTTTTTTTAAATGTTGAAAAACAATAAAATGTTRATTTTTTCGGTGCCACTCTGGTACTACATTTTAGCAAAGATAACTGAAGAACAGCTCTTTTGCACAAAAGCAGGAAGATACGGAAAATGGTTCGTCGTAAAAAAGTATGTCGTAAAAAATGTACTGATGTCATCAAGAATTCATTGCTTTGTCAAAAAAAGTAATTTTGATCATGAAGAAGCAAAGTCTTATTCAAAATAAGCAAAGCGTCTCGTTCTTTACCCAGTCGAAGAAAATCATGGTCTAAAAAATCGTTTCTTAAGAAACATAAGTAAAGAGCAATGGATGCAAGTCACAATAATTATTATCATCAACTGCTGACAAATCCGAGTTCACAAAAATATGGTGTCTGTAGTTTTGTTATGAGAGAGAAAATTAATGTTTTTACAGACTAAGCTAGACATCAGTTTTCTAATTACTATTTCTTATCGCATGAAAACAAGATAAAGAACGATTAGTTATTAAAAATATCGATATAAGATTTTAGTAAGGCTGCCATCACGCACAAGTTTAGTTAATGGTATGCTTTGAATTTACAAGTAAACCTCTTAGCTCCTCCCATTAGCATGTACACCTCTGGTTACGCCCTACGCACTCTTTACCCCTTTGCTTAGTTATTTTAGCACTATTCTTTTAAATCTTATGATATAAATATCCCTCGTAGACCGTTCTATACATTTACCATATATTCATATACTAACTTTAGTTTAAGCTATGTTTAGTTCTAAGATTTTCACTCGTATTACTCTTTAATAAGATATCACACCTAGGAATTTACTATTTCCGTTAGCCAATCAGGACTCAGCGATAATATCATATTGATTGTAGAATGACACCTGTCATGAGGTTATTATAAATAGAGCTCATGTAATTAGTTTTAGTAAGAATAGAGAGATGTAGAAGAGAGTCAGAGAAAGTAGTATAAAGATCCCGTGGCTCGTACCGAGAGCGGTCGTCCCATAACAGTTTATCCCATGTTGATAAGAGTCTCAATGACAGACTCGATCATAGTAAGTTTACTCTAAGCAGAGATATAGAATATCTATTATCAGTTGGACATCTTGATGGTAGCCCGAGTAAACGCACAGAAGTGCGTCTATTTAAAGTTTAAGGGAGGACTGCTAGTTCGTAGATACAGCTAGATCCAATTGAATCACATAGATTTATTGGTAAACTATTCCTTTAAAAAAAATAAAAATAAAAATAATAAAAATAAGTACGCTCACAAATATTTTCGCTCACGGCTGCTTGTTGATTATTTACGCTTGACTTCCGTGTTATTCCTTGTCGTGTGCTGTTAGTGCTGTTTATTTGACTGCTTAAAACCCTTCAATGCATATGAAATTAAAGGAGAATATTTGTAAAAGATACAGCTTTTAGTGACTTCATTTAGAAAAAAATCGTTC